GCCCGCCGGTCTTAAAAGTGGCCAAGATCGGAGACAAGTGCTAGAGAATCACACCGCACAAAAAAAAGAGGCAATGCACACAACAGCAGCTGTTCTTCCCCCCCCACCCCCCAGCCAAGATTTTTTTTCCTTTGGGGTGGTCCCAGGAGGGGCAAAAGGGCTGGGCACATTTTAGCTCCCGTGTGCAGAGCAGCTGCCAATCTGCCCGCTCAAGGAATGAAAGTTGTATTAAATCCTTGGACGCTGATTCTTAGCCACGCCTCTTAGCCTGCCGGTTTGTGGCTGATGGTTAGGGGAGTCCAACCAATGTCCCTCCCCTTTTTTTTCTTCAAGATTGCACAGGTGTAAGTGTGGGCTTCCCTTTTCTCTTCTGCTGTGGCTGCTGTTAGTTTCTTCTGCGGTTGCATCAGCCAGCCGAGGAAGTGACAGAGCTGCTTGCTCACGAAAGAGTCCTCTCCTCTTGCCTCACCAGCCTGCAGAAATTGTGGGCTGCCGCCAAAGCAGAACACAGGACTGTCGGGCTGGAAGGGAGCCCAGAGGTCTTCTAGTCCAGCCCACCCCCTCGCCCCCCATGCTCAAAGCAGGGCACCTTATACACCGTTCCAGACAAATGGATGTCCGGTCTCTTCTTGAAAAGCTCCAGTGATGGAGGCAAGCCCTTCTCAATTATTCTCACCGCCAGGAAATCTCTCCTTAATTCTAGGTTGACAGAATCACAGTTGGAAGGGACCTCAGAGGTCTGCTAGTCCAACCCCCTGGTCAAGCCAAGCAACCCTAACCCCCCCGTGTTGGGAGCCCCCCACAACTTCCAATCTCTTCTTCCAAACTTCCACTGGCTGATTGCTCTCACTGTCAGGAAGATCCCTCCCAAGTTCCAAGGTTGCTTCTCTCCTCCATTCGTTTCCGTCGCTTCTTGTCCTGCCTTTGGGTGTTTGGGGTGCCATCAGGGAGTTTGCAACGTCTGGACCAGGGGTCGCCAACCTTTTAGACTTCAGGGACCACCAAACTCGTAATTTTAAATCCTGCGGAGCAGAGACCCTGGGAAAATCCCCAAAATAGTCTGCAGGAAAATCCCCCACCCCGTTTTCCTACCGATCGATCGTTCTTTATTTGGGATCGCAGGATACCGTCTCCAGCTCCGTTCTCAGGGGGGGAGAGAAAGAGAGACTTTTGGCTTCATGCAAGGAAAGCAGCAGAAGCCGCAGAAGTCTTTCTTTCTCTCCCCCAAACTCCGTCAGAAATGAGTCTTTGCCGACGCGGCCTCTTGGAGGAGCAGGAGGCCTTGCAGGGTCCCAAAGACTCATTTCTGGTGGAGTTTGGGGGAGAGAAAGACAGACTTTGGCTGCTTTCCTTGCGTGCAACCAAAAGCAGAAGAAGAAAGGAAGAAGTGGAAATAAGCAGCCTGGGGGGCCAGGCGAGGTGCGTGGGGCGAGTGGGGCAAGTTCTCCCCTCCGCCCTTCCCCCCGCTTCCCTCGCTACCTCGTGTTGCTCACAATGCAAGTGGCGCAAGCCTTGTGCTCCCGCAGGCCATGTGGGCAGCACATCCTTGTATTCCCACGCAGCCTGGATTAGTTGCTTGTGAGGGGACATTTCTCTGCAGACCACCAACATTTTCTCACGGACCACCAGTAGTACCTGGCCCACCGGTTGCCGACCCCTGGCCCGGACCACAGCCACACCAATTACGGTGCCTGCAACGGTGCAGGCCTATACAGAACATAGTTTCGTGATCAAGGGCCCAGGACAGCTGGCGGTTTGCGTTCTGCTGGGCGAGTTGTGTAAAACTGGTGCAGGCAAAAGAAACGTGCAACCCCCAGTCGGTTGTGGGTTGACGAGCCACTTCTATTTCTAGCTCCATTTCTAGCGCCGGGAAGTAAGGAAAGGCCGCGTCCGTTTTCAGGTAGAACCGGCTGCTCAACAAACATTGTGCCCTGGCAGTGGACCTTGCCAAGAAACCAGGATTAAAGCGGGCAGTGCAGCCTGCCCCTCCCTTGTTAGAGGCTTCCTTGGGGAGGGGCTTTTTAAAGACGTGCTTGAAAAGACAGACGTATGCATCTATTATCCGTGTATCTCTGATCTATCAGCTGTGTTTGTCCGTCTATCATGTTTTTCTACCAATCGTTTCACCTCTTGCTCTCTGTTCGCTATCATCTATCTCTATCACCAATTTTCCATCTCTCTCATCTGTTTCTATCATCTGTTTATAAATAATTTATCTCTTTTTCTGTGTCCTCTTATCTGTATTCTCTCCCTTCCTCTCTCTTATCTATTTGTATTTTAAAATCGCCCATTTCCTTCGCAGAGAATAAAAATGCCGTACAGGAAGATATTTATAGAGATACGCATGGTAGCCAGGACTGGCTCTTTAAATTGGGTATTTTCCCCTCTGCAGATGAGTGAAAGCTGGCCTTGACTTCCTCCCAGCTGCCTCTTCCTAGGGACGGACTTTTCTGGGGGGTTCCCCTTTGGCCCAACATCACTTCCCCAATTTGTTGCCCTGCGGAGTGTTTGGCCAGCTGCCTCGAGAGCGGCATGGCTCCGTCTCAGCAACTTTAAGCTTGCATGGACTTCGGTTCCCAGAATTCCCCAGGCAACAGGAGATGGTGAGTTCTAGTCCTGCCTTAGCCATGAAAGCAGATGGGTGATATTTGGGGGCCAATCACCCAAAGAGTGACAATGAGAGTTCTGGTCCCGCTTTAGTCCCAAAAGTTGGCTGGGTGATTTGGACTCCCTCTCTCTGAGCGTAACCCACCTTGCAAAATCGTTGTGGGGAAAACAGGAGGAAGGAAGGAAGGAAGGTTATGCAAATCTCGCAGTCTTGCGCTACTCATAAAACGATTGCTTACAAAGTAATAATGGCGGGATAAAAATCGAATAAATGAAATAGAATAATGCACCCAAACCAAGAGAAAACGCACCTCCGCTCGATGCCTCTGCCGCTTATGAGCAAAAGGATGGAACTGTTGTGGTTTCTAAAGTAAACGCTCCACGTATGCACCAAGTGGAAAATTCTACGCAGTTTTGACACTAGGTGAGCAGCTAACAACCACATGTCAGCGTAGAGCAAACGCAAAGATAAAAATAGAGCTCAGGCTAGCAAAAACTAGGTTATGGTTAAAATGGAGACGTGTCACAGGTGAGGGGGCTCTTAGGGGGAAGCAGGTACCATTACAAGGTAGATGTCTTTCATAGGAGGCTACTGTGCCAAGGGGGGGTGGAGGGAGCAGACTTGTGTAACGGGATAAAAAGCTTTGCAAATACATGAATAAATCCATTCCTGCTTCCACGTTATTGCCTCGAGTAGTTCCATCTGCAAACTCGTACTGTTTCTAACAGCGCTGAATTTAAACCTGGACCACCTTGGCTCGCTCAAATCGTGGCGGACTGGGTGGGACGGGAAGGCGTGAACCAGGCTGAAATGCCTCCAGCTGTTCCCCAGTAGGGTAGGCAGAGGACTCCAAAGCACCCCCTGGTGGCCACCCATCCTCCACCTGGGCAAACTTGCCGGCCGGTCGCCAGGTGTAAGAACGGAACTGCCCGCTAGCCAGAGGACATCTTAGGTTTGGCCACCTTCCTTATTACTGCAGAGGTAACACGGAAGGCAATTTGCCCTCCTGGGCAGGATATTTTACAACCTCCTGATGAAAAAATGTTACTGGGTCATTCCGACCTCAGAACGGTTCTAAAATTGCTGGATTTGCATGCAAAGCTGGTGATTTTCTACCGCTGCGCCGTAAGAGAGCGTTTCAACGTACTGCACCTCTGTATGGTTTGCCAATTGCACCGGGGCAGATAGGATGGTGGTCCAGAGGGTGAAGGTCATTGCCTCTCAGAGGATCCTGAGTTGCCCTCTCCCCTCTTTGGAAGAGCTTTAGAGCTCCCGCTGCCTTCAGAAAGTTCAAAACATCCTCAAAGATCCATCTCATCCTTGGCACCCTTTTTTTTGAACTATCACCACCTGGCAGACGGTACAGGACAATAATAAAAACAAGGACAAATAGGCTGAAAAACAGCTTTTATCCCAGGGCAGGAGCTCTGTTGAATTCTACTATATAGTGCAGTGTTGGTGCGGTGTTGGGGGTTTCTGGTTCAATGTGTGAAGGGTGAAGGATGTGTGTTTGTGTTTATTTTCACGGTCATGATGTGCACTGAAGATGGTGTTTGATTTCGTTGTACGAGGTGCGATGACAATAAAGGAAACAAAACGAAACAAAGATGGAACACACCTGTCTGGTGTGTGGCACACAATATGACATGATGGTGAACAATATAACAGTAGCAGGTTCCTCCTAACGTGGCAGACTGAGGCATCTGCTATCCAGGGAGAAGGTTAATTTGATGTCATAATTTCGAATACGTTTTATTTATTGGCTCTGGGAAAAGACCCAGGAGAAAGTCAGATAGCTTGAAAGGTGTCTGCATGACACACCTAACCATGGTTAACTGATCAGGGTTTGTCCCATCTAATTTCCTTTTGTTTTTTAAAAAATAACGTTTCTTCTCTTATTTTCATCTTTTAGAATATTGTTTTCTCAGATTGTAAGCCGCAGGACTGGGTCGTATGACGGGGAGATGGACGGCGAATAAATTGAATATTTTTATTGAACTAAATTTAATATTTTTATTGAGCTTATTAAGCTTAGAAACCAGTTGGGTCTGTGTAACAATACGAGTCCCGGGATAATGGTGCAAGATCCAATCTGGGACAAACAATAACCGGATTTTATTTTTCCTTGAAGATGTTTCGCTTCACATCCAAGTTCTTCAACTCCCAGAATCCCCCAGCCAGCCTGCCTCATGCCGGTTGAGGAATTCTGGGAATTGAAATCCACACATCCTCAAACATGCCATGGGGAGAATTCTGAGAGCAGAAGCCCACACGGCTTAAAATTCCCTGAAGTTTTGTTCATTTGTTTCCTTTATTAAATTAAATTTGGGTTGAGAAACTCTGCACTGGAGCAATGAACCCGGAGAGGGTGAGGAAACCTGGCTTGTTTTTCCCCTTTCAGGGTTCAGCAAGGGGAAAGAGGCACGCGCAGAGTGGCAGGCTGCCAAATTTTACAAAAAGGGTTCACAAATTTTGGTAACTCGGTTCCCCCCTTTTGCCCAGCGGTTCTTGGCCCGTCTCATACGACGCACTGAAACAGAACGCAATTAACTGGATTTGTTCGATTAACCGAGGCGAACACGGGCTGCATTGTCCCTCCAGAAACAGGCCAGGATTTAAATGAGCCACATCTCTCTTTTCAGTGTTGGATGGATGGTTTATTTCAAGACGTCACTTTACTGGCAGTTGAATCGCTCAAACCCACTTAAGACAGGTGCCTGTACAGTCACGCACACTCACACACACGCTCACTCGTGCACGCACAGAGACCTGGTCCCCTCTTCTGCAGGTGCAGCACAACACATTGACGCGGAGGGCCGGATGGGGAGGGGGCAGCAGACCAGCCACGGGGAGAGCGGAGCGCAGTGGGACATCAAATGGTTACGAGCGGGTGGGGGGGGGAAGAGAGGGGGGCACCCCCCCCCCTTCCCAATCCCCCCCCCCCTTATGACCAAAGAGGCAAGCCGGCCCTGACTTGCCAGCTCTCCCTCTTCCACAGGCACCCCACTTTCCAGGCAGGGAGGGGGCAGCGACTGAAGAGACACCCCTTCCCCAAATGCTTGCTCCCTGCCAGCCTTCCGCTCTGGGTTTATGGGGCGAGCAAGTCTTTGATTCGGGGTGCTGGAGAGGACGAGAACTGGGGCTGGCAGGAAGCGGCAGGGGCAGGTGAGGAAGAGGACCCCCAAGGAGGTGGCGGGCGAAGCCCCCCCCCCGCCCCCAAAACAAACAACACAAAAGAAGATCATTCCAACGACTGCAGCATCAGCAGCTGCTTCAAGACCTTCGTCTGGCTGGTCTCCCGGATTTCCCCGGCCAGGAACATCTCGTCCACCACCGTGTAGACCTGCAAAGGAGCAGAGGGGGCTGCTGAAACAGGGAGGGGGCAAAGGGTCCTACGCAGAGAAAGCCCACCGAGAATTGGCTGCCGGCCTCAGAGCAGCCGGCCAGGAGCAGGAGCGGGATTCAAAGTTTGCAACAACCGGCTCGGTGGGCATGGCCATGCGACTGGTTGGGTGTGGCTTTGGGGGGGGGCAGCACCCCCCATTTTGGGGGGGGCCTTCTGGGCCTCAGGGAAGCCTCCTGGGTGAAGCAGTGAGACAGCGAGGAGAATCCTGGCACAGCTGATCGTCGGGAGGGGGGGAAAAAAAGAGGAAATACCTTAAGGAGTGACTGGGCGGGAAAGAACGCAGTCAGCGACGTCGGACACGCGCACAACGTTGTGCATGCATGATGAGGACTGACTGGGCGGGGAAGGGAGGGGAGGGGAGGGAGGAGAAGGGCGGGGCCAGACAAGGGCACAATTTGCCAGTTCTCCAAACGGTGCAGAATCCTAACAACCGGTTCTATAGAACCGGTCCGATCCGTAGAATCCCACCCCTGACCAGGAGTCCATCCCACTCCTTCCAGCGGAGTGGTCTTGAATCACGAGATGAACGGCAAATACATTTGACATATAACAGGTCTATTAATTCCATGCTAAGGGAGAGAGACAGTTGTTGCCTCGTTTTACAACCTGGCTTGCCGCTGTTAAGTGAATCACCGCAGGGGTTGAGTTAGTGACACGGCTGTTAAGTGAATCTGGCTTCCTCATTGACTTTGCTTGTTAAAAGGTCGCAAAGGGGGGGGGTCATGTGACCCTAGGACAGGCCATCATCATAAATGCAAGTCAGTTCTCAAAACATCTGGGTGAGCTCTGGTTGGCTGGAAATGGACTGGTCACCGGGGAGGGGGGGATGGGCTGGGGACAAACCTACACCTTATTTTTGCACCCATCGAGCACGGTAGATTTCAGAGCTGACTCGACTTTGCTACAACCGACACCCTTGGTGAAAGAAGCCTTTGACTTAACCAAAGGGGAGTCGAGGGTTTCTCTTTCCCAAGGGATCGGATTGGGGCAGGCCTGACACAAACGGTTGCCTTAAAAACGAGTTAAGTAACGAACTCCCACCTTGTAGAAGTTGAAGACCAGGTCAAGCTCGCAGACGTTGTGAAAATACTCGTTCAACACCTGAGGGGAGAGAGAAAGAGGGAGGTTGAACGGGGCACCTCAGCCCTGCGCAAGAGACAGCGAGGAATGGGAGGCCACCCCTGTGGCCAAGATCGCCACGTTGGATACGCTGTTGGCAGGCGGAGCACATGCTGCTCCTGCGAGAGGCATCCGGTACACATTCAGCCCTTTTCGTTGACTAGCCTTTTGTGCGACGATCAAGGGGAAAGAGAAGACGGGGAGGAGAAACAGGTTTGGGTCACGAGCAACGGGAAAACCTCGGCAGAGTCTCAGCGTCAGAAGAGGAGCAATAGCCCTTAGACTTATATACCGCTTTCCAGTGCTTTCCAGCCCTCTCTAAGAGGTTTACCGAGTTGCCTCTACAATCTGCATCCTCATTTGATCGACCTTGAAAGGATGGAAGGCTGAGTCAACCTTGGTCAGGATTGAACTTTCTGGCTGTGGGCAGAGTCAGCCTGAAATACTACACTCTAACCACTGTGCCACAGCTTCCTTCCTTTTCATTTCCCTCCCTTCCTTCCTTCAGAAGAATAGCCCTTAGACTTATATACCGCTTTATAGTGCCTTTACAGCCCTCTCTAAGGAGTTTAGAGAGTCGGCATCCTGCCCTCAACAATCTGGGTCCTCGTTTTACTGACCTTGGAAGGACAGAAGGCTGAGTCAACCTGGCGCTGGTCAGGATCGAACTGCTGGCTATTGGCAGAATTAGCCTGAAAGTACAGCATTCTAACCCCTGTGCCACCAGAGTTCTTCTAGCAACGAGGAGCGAGAAGCTGCCACGTTATTACTATTACTAGGCTACATGACCTGTGTCCCGTCAGGTCGTCATTTCAGAGATACGGGCAGTCCTCGCCCTATGACAACTGAGCCCAACATTTCTGTCGCTAAGCGAGACAGCTGTGAAGTGAGTTTTGTCCCCTTTTGCAACCTTTCCTCAGTGTCACTGTAACTCTGAATGGTCGCTCAACTGTTGTAAGTCAAGGACTGCCTGGGTTATTCTTGTATCCACTTACCAGGAAGGATAGAATTTCAGGCACAGCTTCGAAGGCAGGACAGATGTTCACGGGGCTGTGAGGGGGGGGGAACAGGCCTGCTTTGCAGCTGGACAACCCACACTCACCTCCACAAAGTTGTGAATGGCCTCAAGGTAAGCTAAATTGTTGTCGTTCACATCCACGCAGATACAGAAGTAGAGCCCCGCGTAACGTCGGTAGATGATCTTGAAGTTTCGGAACTGGAGGGAGGGAACCAAACCACCATCAGGGGAGGGGAAAACAAACATTGTTAGAAGTTTAGTTTACTTTACTTTACTTTGTCACTGTACCTCGTACAACGAAATCAAACACCATCTTCTGTATACATTATGACTATGAAAATAAACACAAACACACATCCTTCACATTCTATACATTGAATGGAAAACTCCTGATATTGCATTAATATTGCACTATACAGCAGAATTCAATAGAGTTACTGCCCTGGGATAGAAGCTGGTTTTCAGCCTCTTTGCTCTTGTTTTTATTATTGTCCTGTACCGGCTGGCAGATGGTAATAGTTAAAAAAAAAAAAGGGGGGTGTCCAGGATGAGATGGATCTTTGAGGATGTTTTGAACTTTTTTAAGGCAGCGGGAGCTCTAAAGCTCTTCCAAAGAGGGGAGAGGGCAACCCATAATCCTCTGGGCAATGATGTTAACCCCCTGGAGCACCATCCTATCTGCCCCGGTGCAATTGGCAAACCATACAGAGGTGCAGTAAGTTAAGATACTCTCTACGGCGCAGCAGTAGAAGCTGGACAATGCTGGTCAAGGATAAAGGCTGGCCTTATCTGTTGGGTCCACCCATCAGGCCATGACCCTCTTGAGCACAAAAAAACCCCATCTTTATGCAACCAGCCCTTTAGTCAAACGGCTCAGGTGCAAACACCGGTGTCAACAGCCTTACTTCCTTCTGTCTGCCGGCTTTTATTGAGCGTATATTTCATATTTCAGTGAAAAAGGAGCACAGGGGAAAAATTCAACACATAGGACCTTGAAATCCTAACAGGAAGATTATAAATGTGTGCCTAGGTTGTAAATATATATATATATTTACTTCCTTTGTCGCAGCCGGGAAACCAGCTAAATAAACCTCCATTATAGGCACTGTTTTGACATTCTGTCACGATGCGTTGGGGAGTTGGATTGTTGGTCCCACCGTCATAATTCGGGGATGGTCTTTTGTCAGGGGGAAGGACATGGCATCTACAAGTATCTGCTGGCTTGAGAAGGATGGATGAGGTCTTCTGAAGCAGCCGTCTCCAACCTCGGCAACTTTTAAGACTTGTGGACTTCACCATCCAAAATTCCTCAGCCGGCTATGCACTTTGGCTGGGTGAGTTCTAGTTCCACCTTAAGCACGAAAGCCAGCTTGGAGATTTGGGGCTGGTTATGCGCTCTCTCTCTCTCTCTCTCTCAGCCCAACCCACCTCACAGGATCGTTGTTGGGGGGAAAACAGGCGGAGGAAGAATTATTATGTATATTTGCCGCCTTGAGTTATTTGGAAAAACAATAAAGGCAGGATTAAAAAAAAAAAACAACCACTCATAAGTAAATAAGGCCAGAGAGGTGCTACCTCCACAAAATTCGTGTGCTTGGCATCTCGGACAGTGACCACCGCGTGCACTTCTTCAATCAGCTTTTGCTTCTCGTCATCGTCAAACTGCATGTACCACTTGGCCAGACGGGTTTTGCCGGCCCGGTTCTGAATCAGGATAAAGCGGATCTGTAAAAGAGGACCAACCCACAGGTTGCTTATCTCCAGAATCCAAACATCATTCAACTGCGAGCAATGAGAAGCTCCCACTTGCAGCACACAACTCCCGTGGGCGCCAGGAACCTGTAGCTTAACTCATGTGTGTGTGTGTGTGTGTGTGTGTGTGTGTGTGTGTGTGTGTGTGTTCTCCAGTGGGACCGGTCTATCAGGGCAACCTGGTCTACCCAGGTTGAGTGCAGAGTGCAGAGAAGAGCAAGAAAGAGGATTAGGGGACTGGAGGCTAAAACATATGAAGGACGGTTGCAAGAACTGGGCATGGCTAGTTTAATGAAAAGAAGGACCAGGGGAGACAGGATAGCAGTCTTCCAAGATCTCAGGGGCTGCCCCAAAGAAGTGGGAGTCAAGCTATTCTCAAAAGCACCTGAACTCAGGACAAGAAGCAACAGATGGAAACTAATCCAGGAGAGAAGCAACTTAGAACTAAGGAGGAATTTCCTGACAGTTAGAACAATTATTCAGTGGAACCACTTGCCTCCAGAAGCTGTAAATGCTCCAACACTGGAAGTTTTTAAGAAGATGTTGGATCACCATTTTGTCTGAAGTGGTGCAGGGTTTCCTGCCTAGGCAGGGGGTTGGACTAGAAGACCTCCAAGGTCCCTTCCAACTCTGTTATTCTATTCTATTCTGCCCAGTTATGGGACAGAGCATTCTGCTTCCATTTTTACTTTTCAGACCCGATCCAGGAGGCTTTGCAGGCAGTTGCTTTTGTGACAAACTATTTTTGTGTTAAATTTATGTTTTTACTGACAATGAAATAAAGGGAGACTAGCTTAAATCTATTTCAAGCTATTTAGCTCTCATCAGCTAGCCATACTCTTTAGATGACAGCTAAATAGTTTGAAATAGATCTATGCTAGACTGTTTTGAGTTGTAATTGCAGGAATGTTCCAATCTCGGATGGCAAACCTCAGATCAGGAATGTTTCCAAGCAAATACAACTCAGGCAAACAAAGTCACTAATCTAAAGGAGGATTAGAGAGAGGAAGTAAACATGTGTTAGACTTTAACTAGAGATAATTAATTGTATTAACTACTATATTAAACAGTAGCAAAAGTTAAGCAATAACCAAAGTTAATCAATGTTGGAGGATTACTAAAAATGTGTATAAATGCAAGACTAGACTCCAATAAAGTTCATCATGATTCAGTTGATCATGATCAAACACCTCGACTGCCACGTCATTACAACACTAGACACCCTTTATTTCGTTGTCAGTAAAAACATAAATTTAACACTAACATCAGGAGCCTACTCCAAAACAGTTCGTTTCCTCTTTGGTCTCCATTTAACAGATCTAATTACTGCCTGCTTCCTTTTGGCATCTTTTGCTACATGAATTGTACACTGGAGAATGGGGCATTTTTTTCCCCAAAGGTTTGCAAAAACCTTGCTAGCCTGACCCCATTTTTGCTTAGTTCCACTTTCCAACCGTGAAGCTAAGATAGGGAAGTGACCCACCCTAAACAAGAAAGCCAGCCCAGCACAAGGAGCAAAAAAGGCAAACGGTTTGCGATCTCTTACAATACCATGAAAGCAACGAGGTTGTTGTTTTTTGATTCCAGGAATAATATATGCAGTTTTATGACCTGGTTAATCAGGAAACATCCGCATTGCAAGAGAGTAGAACAGCAACGGCCTGTATGCCAAATTAAAAAAAAAATTCTATGCTGACATAGTTTAATTATCCAAAAGATTTTCGATTGTGTGGAAATGGACAAAGTTTAATTAGAATTAAAAGAGAAGGAAGGCTCAGATTATTATACAGTTTGGGAAAATTGGTATCATTGGGTAAATAGAAACAAGCAATTAAATAAATAAGCAATGTATAATGTAGAAAGATAAAGGTATATAAGAACAGTTAGGAGTATAAAATATGCACTGGAATAACTATTGAAATGTAAGCACTGTCAAAATGGATTGTAATATATACAACACTTTCATTTTAAAAATTTGCATTGCATTTTGCATTTTAATGTTTTAAATTTTCAATAAAGGTTTAATTTAAAAACAAATAGATTTTTTTTGTAAGATCACAGGGAATTTTCCCAATGTAGGTAGTCCTCGACTTACAACAGATTCATTTAGTGACTGTTTAAAGTTACAGCGGCCCTGAAGAAAAGTGACTTGTGAACGATTTTCACACTTACAACCACACTTAATCTTAGGCAAAAGGCCGAGAAGCAGCTTTTCACCTTTGCAACTGTCGCAGCATCCCCCACAGTCCCATGATTGGCGACTGACCCATATTTACGACGGCCGCAGCATCCCGGGGTCACACGATCCGCTTTTGCGACCTTCTGACAAGCAAAACTCCAACAGGGAAGCCAAAAGATTCCCTAAACAAACTGACTTTAAAACGAACTGCAGCGGTTAACTTAACAACGGTGGCGAGAAAAGTCATAAAACGGGGCCAGACTCGCTGAATCACCACCGTCTTGCTTAACCACAGATATTTGGCCTGAACTGCGGTCATAAGTCGAGGACTTCCTGTAGGTTGGATTTCAGTGCTTCACCTTTTTTTTTTTTAAATTATGCTGGTCGGGGATGAGAGGAGCTGGGGGTGGGGGGCAACATCCCTAGCAAAACACCGTTAGCCTACCTTACAGGGCTGTTGTACAGATCCAAGACAGGAGGGAGTTTTTGTTTTGGGGTTTTTTTGCCCCTGGCCCCCTTCTGAGCCTCATTTACCCCGAGGATCCCCCACCCCAGAATCTCTGCTGGTTGACCGATTTTGTGACAAATGGGAATAAAGTTTAATATTTTGGCTGCTGGAAAGTTGGGGGGGGGGGAGAGCAAAGAAGGGGGGGGATTGGGACAGCTACGGTTGTGGGGGCCCTAGGAATATAGGCATGGCTTGGGGGGGTCTTATGGCCACGCTGAGACCCCGCTACTGACCCCCCGACCCAAATAATGGCATTATTAGGGTTGATCAAGACCCCCCCAAGTTTCCCCCCCAAAACCTGGCAACCCCATTGCTCCAGTGACCCCCTCCCCCCACTCCTTTAAAGGGACCCCCGCCCCTCCTTACCATGATGGCTCCCGAGACCCCCTCCTGCTGCTGCCCGCAGAGCGCCCGGGAAGCGGCGTTAGCCCCCCGACTCTATTCTCTGCCTTCCTACGGGATAGGGGACAGGGCGGCTGCCAAGCGCTGAGCCCGTCGGGAGTTGTAGTCTAAAGGAGGGAAGGGGGGCAACTCCCGTCAGGCTTTTCGCCAGCAAGGAGCCTATAGGGTTGTTTTCCTCGGCCGGGCGGGCCACGCGACGGCTGCGCTGCATGCCGGGAGCTGTAATTTCTTTGGTGGGGCGGGGGGAAAGGGTGCCGCTTGCCTCCGGCAGGGGGCGCTCGAGTTCCGCGATGTTCGGGCGAAGCCGGGCACTCGTGTGGCAGAAGGAAGCCGAGCAAGGGATGGCCCAGGCGCTGCCCGGGCTGGACTTTAGCCCCAGGCTCAGGCAGGCCTTGTAGGCCCAAGGTTTCTGAGCCCTAACGCATGAGGGTGCTGTGGTCTAGACTCCAGAGAATAAGGAGACAGGCCGCCCTGATGGAGTTGAGAACTTCATCAACTTTTAACATCCCATAAGAACAAAATAATAATAATCTCAAATAACGGAGGAGAGGGCAGTTTGGTGAGCATCTCCTGCCGCAAAGGGTGTTTCTTTGTCAGCCTCAAGAAGGAACATTTGCTTCACCGGGGCTTCAATGCATCCAAAACTGCTAACTGTTGTTTCCATTTGAGTGTACCAGTCCTGGTATTGTGTACTACAGATAGTCCTTCGCTTACAACTGCTTGTTTAGTGACCAAAGTTACAACAGCACTGAAAAAAAGTGACTTGTGACCATTTTCACACTTGCGATCGGTGAAGCATCCTCATGATCACGTAATAAAGAAACGGACCTTTGGCAATTACACGTTGCAGAGTCCTGGGGGGTCATCGAACCCCTTTTTGCGAGCTTCTGACAAGCAAAATCAGAGGGGAAGATGGGTTCACTTAACAGCTTAAAAACTACAGGGATTCACTTAACAACTGTAGGAAGTTAGCACACCCTCCCCCTGAAAATTGAAATAGCCTAGAAAATATTCAAAAGGCAGAATATTTCCTCTAAAAAAGAGTACAAAGTCAGAAGCAGAATCTCACCCCCACCTTTGTTAATGGGTGGGTCATTAAGGCCTGGGCCAGAATACTTTACATAACAAAGAACTCCAGGTAAAGGTATAGCAATTGCCAAAAGCCCTTTTAAGGGCATAAATTGTCCAGCAAGGCTAGACCAAGCCTGGAACTCAGGACAGCCTAAAGAGTTGCCCCTGGGAGTCTGACAACCAATGAGGTACATATCTTACACAGAAACAGGAAACACTAAAGTTATAAAACCCAGGCACTCTCAGCACCGTTTTTCTTGATCTCTTCTCACCTTGAAGCATGGGATCACCCTTTCTGGAGCTCCAGGCCATGTGGTCCTCCTGTCCACCATTAAACCTTCCAAGCAGCCTCCATGTTTCCAGTGTCTTTTTCTCCCACTTGGAACTGAACCCAGAAGGATATTTCTTTCAACACAACGATAGCAAATAAAGTAGTAAAATGGGGCAAAACAACCGTCTTGCTTAGCAATGGAAATTTTGGTCTCCGTTGTGGCCATAAGTTGAGGATTACCTGTAGCTGCTTCCAGGCACCATCCAACAATTCCCTCCTTCCCTTAATTCGAGGGGATGTTTGTTAAAATATCAGGAACAACCTATATATATCTGCTGTCAGGATTCTGGCAGTTACTCCAATTAACTCATGAGCCTCGAGCCACAAAACTTGAAAGGATTTATTAGAAGTTAACATGCCAGCATGACCTGAGTGTAGCCGACTCTGAGATACGTAATTCACTGTCCCCCTTGACCCTGGTTTCTCCCTCACCCCGCTGAGTGTATCGCAATTCATATTCTCCAAAGGGACACGTCCATAGCCAAGAGTCATCAATCATGCTCTCCAATTAGATTTTTGCACAGCAGAAGCTTCAGTCATCTAATCAGTCTCTGAAGAAAATATGAATGGAATGTACTTTCGATTCCACACTGCTGCCTGCTCTTTGAAACTCCCCCCCCCCTCCTTCTGTTGACAACCATAAAACGTGCATACAAAATGTTTTATGAGTTGACATCTGCATTATTTTGCCTTGTAATTAATATTTTAATCACAAGTAGTCCTCAGCTTATGTCTATAATGGAACCTGCCCATCATGGTTGTAAGTCATCACATTTATCACATCTACAACGCTGACCCAATTTTACTGTTTTTCCCCAGCAGTCGTTAAAACAAATCAACGAGCCAGTTTTGCTGTAAACTGGAAATGAGTGCTGGTTTCCTGCAAGGCCATTGGAGAACACGGTTGTGTGAACACGGGATCCTGCAAATGGCTGTAAACGTAGGCCAGTTGCTGACACTTAAGCAAACGGTCATAAGTCGAGCACTGCCTGAATTAAGCATTCTGAGAAACGTGGAGAGATTCCTGAAAGTTTGTGGTTACAGCCTTAAATAGCAAGCTAAGTGGATGGGAGCGGGCATCACAAGTTCAAAAGCTACTTCGCCAAGATTGTGATTCTTGGCATCACTTGGGCAATTCTGGGAGATTTCCGACCCTGTTCTGAAGTGGGTTTGGAAGAGACCACACTTCATGGCAGAACACAAAGTCCTCATCATCAGCCATTAAAAAGACCAAGGAAGGACGTACAGTGGTCTTTTCCAATGTGCTGCCGTTCAGATGTGTTATATCCCATTCCAGATCTGAAGTCCATCTCTTTTGGAGGGCAGCAAGAAAGGGGGAGCCAGAAGAGGCAGAAAGAGAGCCTGGGGTGCCAGCCACAACCTTGTGCCATCTGGAATGTCCTCCCTGGAATGCTCACAGTGACAACCGTGTTTGTTTTGTTTGTTTATTTTAAAGATTTCTGGGCAAAGCTCAGGTTTGTGACAAGGCAGGTTTCCAACCCAGCTGTCTGCGAGTCAGAATAAGAAATATCGATTTAAATCCTGAAAGGTCACCTCCAAAACTATGGAGTTTGGCTGAAAAGCAGTCGATCTTTTGAGTTGCTTTTCTCCTGCTGTGGAAAACGTGTCTGTAGATCTTCCTCTCACTCCCTCATCCCCCCATTTTTTTTTCCCAAATACACGCAGTCCTTAATCTCACAAAGGTGCCCAAACAGCAAGATCCAATCTGGGTTAGTCATTGGGACAAGACAAGAGGTTTACTTCTCTGAGCTTTCGGACTGTGGAATATGGCTGAATTATGAGTTTATTGACATATTGCAGTGGAGAGAAGTTCCCTGAAGATGGGCTCCAGCATCAGTCCAAATGCTCAGAAAAGTAAACCTCGTCCCAATGACAAACCCAGATTGGATCTTGCAAGATTATCCTGGGACATACATTTGCCTTCATTCGTGACATGGTAGTATTCCAGCATTTGAGGGGCTGCCCCAAAGAAGGGAGAGGGGGTTTAAACCTGTTTTCCAAAACTCCAAAAGAAATAATGGATGGAAACTAGTCAAGAAGCAACCTGGAATTAAGGAGAAACTTCCTAACAGGGAGGACAATTAACCAGTGGAACAGCTTGCCACAAGAAGCTGTAGGTGCTCTTATCACTGGTGGTTTTTAAGAAGAGACTTGACAGTCACCTGTCTGACATGGTACAGGGTTTCTCCTGCTTCAGCAGGGGGCTAGACTAAAAGACCTCCAGGGTCTCTTCCAACTCTATTCTGATTGATTGATCTAGCACATAGTTAATAAATGAGTGAAACTGGTTGTGGTTTAACACGCTGGATGAACTCTGCTGTTATTGTTTATTTAATCAATTCTGATTTAAGCAACCCACAGTTTAGCTTGAAATATAAACCAGGAGTCTGGTTTTGGCGGCACCCCCCAAATATCGCACACAGCCTAAGTCAGGCAGGGATGAATCACGCAGCCTTCCTATTTCTGCATGACGGGTTCCCTGTTCAGTCCGACTTCATTTTGCAAAGGTTTTTAATTAACATGAAACATGAAGCAGAGAGAGCAAAGCAGCACTTCCCTCCATTATCTTAATTCATAAAAAAAACGCCTCTGGGCCTCGTTGAAGCTTAGAGAAATTTATTGGGGGGGGCGGGGGGAAATGGTGTCGGTGAGGGTGCAGCCAGGTTTCCATCTAGGAGGGTGTCTATTTGCCCAGAAGTCGTGCCAAATAGTGGCACCAAATGGAAGATGACTATGAGGCCGTTGACGCCCTCTGAGTTTGGCTGTTTTCTTGCAGACATTTCATGACCCAACTAGGTAACATCATCAGTGCTCCGAGAGAGGGATTGCCCTGTTTAATTACCAAGAAAAAAACATCACCCCACCCACACTTATAAGGCAGGCTATAAATAAAGAGGTCTCCAAACTTGGCTACTTTTAAGACTTATGGACTTCAACTCCCAGAATTCCCCAGGCAGCTATGCCTGTTTTTCTCTCTCTCTTCATCTCCTAAAGTGGAAAGAGATTGCAGAGGAAGGGATTACAAGAGAGTAAGCTCTGCTGGCTGGAGAATTCTGGGAGTTGAAGTCCACACGTCTTAAAGTGGCCAAGTTTGGGGACCCCTGCACTAATATATAAACAGAGCAACCCCTGTCCCTTCTAGCACTGATGATGTTCCCTAGTTGGGTCATGAAACGTCTGCAAGAAAACCGCCCAGCTCGGAGACCACCAGGGACCCCTCAGTCCTTGCCCTTCCCCAGCATCGGAGCCTCCTCCCGAGCCGGGGCTCCGCTCAGGGATCCCAAGGCAGAGACCACCCAAGGCCGCCACCGGGTGGAAAGCAGTCCCGGGTGGGAGGGAGGGCCGGTCAACCCCAAACGGCCGGGTGGAGGAAGAGCGCCGGGGCCGGCGAGGCGCTCCCGGAACAAAAGCCCGGCGGCGGCGAGGAGGGTCTGGGGGCGCTGCGGCGAGACCCCCTTTTTTTTTCCCCGGGAGGCGCCCGGAAGAACCCAACCAGACCCTCCACGGGGGTCGCGCGGTGCCTCGCCGCGGGGGGGGGTTGTCCCACCTCCCGCGGACCACCCCTTCCCTAGGATAGAACGATCCGACACCGGAGCGGGCGCGGGCGCGCGTCCCCGCGAGGCCACGGACGGGCAGCGCGCGCAACCTCATTTCCCTCTCTCCCTTCAGCGCGCGC